TTTGAAGAAACTCCATTTAAATGAGCCTGACAATAAAACGATTCTTCCTCTGTTGTTATGCGAGCAAATAAACAACTTAGTACATGACTAAGCTTGTCTTAGGAAAAAGTCTTTTCAAATGTTTCTTTATTGTCAAAGATACTTTTTTCTTAAGTTGTGTTGTAGCCAGCAAATAAATGCAGAAATGTGGAATTCTGAAGAAGAAGAATATTTATGAAGTGCCAAAAGGTGGAATTAATTTCTATTTGGGATTTTTCAAGTCAAAGTTTTCACAGTGGTTTGATAACTGAAGATGTATGAGCACCTTGTAGTGCAGAGATGCTCTTGAAAGCGGCTTCTCCATGTCCCATTCAGCAGTATCCAAATATTCAAAGTCCATAACATGGGAGGGGTGGTATAGAGATTGACTTATTTGGTCTCTCTTCAGTTTGAAAAGCATGAAAATGAGCTTTCTACACCAGATAATTCTCTTAAGGGAAAAAAAAAAAAAAAATTACTCAGTTTGACCATGGCAAATTTCATGATCTTGTGCCTTGAGCCAGTTCATAGCTATGCATGTGACACAATCATGTGGGGAAAAGAAAAATCTGATTGACCGCCTTATAGGAACACATGCAAAAAAACTATGGAGCTGCATGACCTGAATATCAATTTGGGCATCGTATAAACAGATTCACTTTGCTAATTTTCTGACTTGTGTACTGTATCTCCACATGTATATTGAGTTTGGCAACCTATACAGGATGTTTCTGGTGGACTTTCACCTTCCCAATTGATCTCTATGGTCTGAGAACCTACTCCAGCCCATTGCAATAAGAACGTGCTTTATGTAAGCATCCTTATTTCATCTGCTAAGTTACACTTCCCTCCATTTTCCTGGAATTATCTCCTCCAGAACTGAGAATTCGGTAAGAAATCTGTACCATCAACAAGTCCACAAAAACGAAAGTCTGAAGTCTTTCAGGAAAAGAGATGAGAATGAAAAATAAATAAAACTTCTTAAAACCCACGAATGTATTGCTTCCATTGGCTAAGACCATTGCCATTCACTTTTGACAATCTCACAGTTGCTATAATCAGCGTGATTCCCAAACTGAAAAATTGTTTTCCAGAAATAATCCAAAAAATAATCCTGATGACTGTCTGCACTGACAAAAATTTTGGCTTGATAACATCAGCATTTTCAGACTAAAATGAATTATAGAAACAAATCCTGACTCCAGAGTTATTAATGTTCTCCCCCAGTTGCAAGCAAACAGGAACAAAATTATGATTCAGGGAGATGTATTTGTAAATAACTCTCAGGATATCCCTCAGGACATTGTAATTACGCAGCAGTGCAGGTCTTTTAAATTAACTGCAGTGCAGCTGCTGACATAACAAGCCATGTTCCATGCTCACCTGAGGAACCACTGTAGAGTTTTCCCAATAATAATGAAACCAGTTTTAGAGAAGCTGAAGCATTCTTCTCAAAAACCGTTGGTAGCTTATAACACCTTTCAGTTTAGTTATGCAATTCTTGTCTTTTATTTTTTTCTTTTTTTTTTTTTCTTTTTTCTTCTGATTTCATTTACCATTTAGCAGAAATACAGGACGAGAAGAAATCTTCATCAGGTTAAAAGAGAAAACGATGTCCCTGATCAGTGTTTATCTTCCTATTTAATTTTAAAATTATATTTAGTGTCTTGGCTCTCCAAAGCAGATGGACCGTGGGCTTGCTGTAAATCAGCCTTAACAGTGCTGTCTCTTTTAATGCTTTGGGTTGTAAAACGAAAGGTGTTACTGGAATTGTATGGAGTCCACAGTGCATCTTTTCTCGTTCTTAGTGCCCTTTTATTGTTACTTTTTGTTTGTCATTTCAGCGTGACTTAATTTTACTTTCTTGGTAACTAAAAATTATGTCTTACATTGTTTGCTAAGTGTTTCACTCGGTAAGTTCCTATTGCTGCTGGTGTTGTGCTGCCTGGATGCAGTTTACGTGCCGCGGTTCATTTGTGGTTCTACCTTTCTTCTGCTGTGCAGTTGTTCACAATGTCACGCCTAAGTAGCAAGCAGATGATATCCCTAATAAATCAGAAAATTACTTCATATTTTATATTGCCAAAAGATGACAGCATGAATATAACACAGGACACAAATCTGATAATTCTGCTCTGTTCTCTAAGTTTTGCGTGGTTTTGCAAATTCTACTATGTCTCTATTATTTTTTATGGATTTATACCATACTACTGGCCCTATTTTTGTCAGCCTTTTTTAGATCTTTAGCATCAGTAAAATGCTGTCTGTAACATGCAGGTAAGGAAAGGAAGAACCAAGCTGCAGATGGATTGCACGAAAAAACTTGGGACAGTACAGTCTGAGAACTGTACAAAGTTATCCATCTCCCTGCTCAGCCAGGAGCTCGTCATTCCATAGCCTGGTACAGTAGAAGAACCATATATAGCAGCTTTGATCAAATCAGAAAGAACTTTCTATTTCCAGCAGAAAGGAGCTAATCCTTAGACTCTGTTAACTTCTTTGTTTTGCTTTCCTTCCTCATGCCTTTGAGTCAACTTTGAAGTTGATGGTAAAGATCCTAATTCACTATTTTCGGATTCCTCTAGTTTCACAGAACTGTTTCTCCATAATATCAACTAAGTCACCAATTTTGTAAGTAGGTCTACATTGGGTATTTTTAGGAAGGGTCCATATGTGCAGTATGACTGTTGGAACATATCAGGAAATAAAATTCTCCAGTAAGCTCAGCTCCGAAATTATCACCTTACTACTTTGCTTGAACTAAAGACAGAGTTTCTTTTACCTACCCTTTCTTCCACTTATCTTCCATATGTTTCACCATTAGTCAAGGAGTATCTTGGCCATAATTTTGCTGGAAAACATACCAAACAACAAGTTAGATTTGTAACTAAAAAGCAGAAAAGAAAAAATTTGGGGGGAAAATCTCAACTTGAGGGTGGCTTTGGGGGAAAGATATCAAGGTCTCTGGGAAACAAAGGAAAAAATCCATTACCAGCATCATAGGAACTGAGGGGAAAAAAAAAAATGTATGCATAGGCACTGCGCAAATGGGGTTAAGCTGCCATGGCATAGCTTTTTTTTCCAGTATAGCTATTCAATCATAATGAAGGAAAGAGCCTGTGGATTGTTTAGCTTCTATAGCTTTCCTTGAGAAGAAATTAAAATATTACAGTATTTCATAGTAACAGAAAACCTTCCACTGACATCCCTTCTCTTTTTTTCTGAAGGTTTACCTGTTTTTACTTGCTCATGCATTGAGCCAATCTGCAGAGAGAATTAATATATTAGATATACCAAGCCAGCTCATTTTTCTTCTGTCACTTTTGCCATGATTAATGATAGTGAAAATGTGTTTAACTCAAATGACACTTCTGGTATTGCTCAGTGCTTAGATTTTTTTTTCTTTTTTTTTTTTTTTTTTTTTTTTTTGTTTGTTTGTTTGAGTCTGCTATCATTAACTAAAAATAAATTCCAGTTGAAATGCAGAGGCAGATAAAACTATTTCCTTCTATTTCTTTTTTATTCTTGCTTTCTCCCTCTGGAATGACTACATTTATACATTTTGAACATTTCCAGAAACTGTAAACCTTAAGCAATTAAGCAACATTTAAGCTTACTGTACTTTATCAATATGAGATGATATATTGATATCTTCTTTAGGTGGACACTTTCGAACTTATAATTGTTAATGTACTAAAAAGATCTCCTGGCCCTGAGGTGATTGGGCAATGAAAATCTGTCTTCCATCAGATAAACCTACTTTAAAGAGAATCGATACCTAAATCTATCACGTGCTTTTGTAATAATGTGCTGCCCTATATTGCAGGAAAAAAAATAGCCAGGAAGCCATTAAGTAGAGGAAATGCTTCTAACAAGGTTTCTCGTAAACTAGAAAGGAGACTGCAGGGAGGAAGGATGGAAATGGGTTATCATGGAATTGCAAGGAAGGAAGTTTAATGCTCAGATTGCCCTTGGGTTGAATGTGAATTCCCCCATTGGGAATTCTCTCTTCAGGTCTCTTGGACCTATTGGTCTCTATTTATATCTTTCAATCCTATCCCCTTAAGATGGTAACAAATAAGAGCGATGTAGCAATTATTGCTGATCATCCCTTTTCTCTCCTGTCAATGTAAAATGGTTTAAAATTCAATTCCTACCAACAGTTGGAGGCAGCAATTCCCACCAATTGCTTGCAGGAAGCAAGCATTTCCAGTGTATATTCAGACAGTACTAAGAAGCCTTGAAAGAAGTGCTCAATACGTGTACACTTCCAGTGCTCCTTTAATCACTATTTTCGGGATTGTTAGATACTATTTTTAGTGAATATTTACACTGCACTGTGAGTGCCTCTTGGTTTTGAGTCGCCGCAAAACAAAACTAGCTATTATCAAAGCACAATATTTCATAAGAAACCTGCCCATCAACTAACTAGAAAGAGAAAGCAAACATCATTAGTGCAGGTTGGTAATACTCCGTGAAAACTGTTCAGCCACTGTGAAAACTGCTCATCCACCAACAGACTAAAATAAAAAAAATAAATTATTAAGAGTGCATTGTTAATGTTACCCTTAAAGGGAAATGAAAGGTTTCAGCATTTCCTTTGAAGTAATTTTAAGGCAGTGGATCTACTGCATGCATAGCAGCTGTCTACAACTTATTAAAAGAGCAAAGAACGAGCAAGTTATGGAGCATCACCCCACAAGAAAACCAAAGTATGCACTGTTAATGAGTATTATTTTTATTAAATGAAACCCCAAGGAATATTATTTTTAGGATTTGGAGACTGACTTTCTTCTTCAAATTTACTGAATATGCAATGGACAAAATGGAATAATATATCATTGAGTGTGCATTATCTGTCTTACCAGCTTGACTTCAAAAATTTCAAAGTTTTTTTGAAAACTGCCTCGTCACAGTGAAAAATACTTCTTGCTTCTCAGTGAAGACAGGTCAGAAATGTACCATATAAAGTTCAGTTGTCCTCTCACCATGTCCTATGTGACCAAGGTCATATATTGCTGAAAAGAGGAAAAAAGGGAAAGAAAAGCATTGTAGATTGACAAAGATGTAGCTCGTGGGATTGATACAAAACTCAGCTGTGTTTACTTGGTTAAGAATGGGCAGCAGTATTTTTTTTTAAGATGAAGGGTAAAGAGTTGTACTGCTTGGATTTCATCCTTTATTCGTGTATGGTTTTGCTCCAAGAAAAAAATCCATTTTTCCTGTAGCTTAGGGATGTGCCTTCAACTTTAGTCATCCAGCAGAAACAAACAGATTTCCTATTTATGTCTTGCTTGAGACAGTGGAGTACATAACCAGAAGTTTCAATAAACAATTAAAACTATAATCTATGTTAAATGTTAGGTCAAGAAAATAAATTAGATGCATTGTGTGTTGCAGAATCTCTTGGATTTGGGTCACTGAGCCCATGTCTTCAAACCTAATACTTGTCGTAGCCCACTTCATGTGATTTTAAAATGGTATCAGATGAGCTGAATAGAAAAGACTCATGTCTTGATGATATTCTGAATTTTAATATTTCTATTGAATGTCTCTTCTTGCTCCAGGGTTGCATCCACAACCTCCTTGGACAACCTGTTCCAGTACATCACCACCCTTTGTGTGGAAAACTTCCTCCTGGTGTCTAACCTAAACCTCCTCTCTCCCAGTTTTAAACCATCATTCCCCCTTGTCCTCTCAAAAAACCTGCAAGTGACAGAAGCATACAAAGCAATTTTTGAAAATATATTTGCTTTCCATCTGCTGCAGTGTACAGTAGCCAGTCCATGGTGCACACTCTAAACCCCCATGAGAACTTAATATAAGTAAATCTGTAGAAAGCTTGGGGAACAACTGCATAGTCTGATCTGTGTAGTTATTTGTGTTCAGGTGAAACACATTCCTAGTTCTGGAATGAGTGGTTCTGTGTCTGCATTGCCCTGACACCACACTGACTAATGGCTGGGTGGGACATGTGGCTGAACAGTGCCTTGGCCGGTAAAGTGGTTCTATTGATCCAGTAAAAGGATTATTTTGAGAGCGAATGTTCACAAAGCAGAATAAGGCCACATTTTACTTACCTGCATAGTCCCAGAGGATGACCTACCTCTCTACTGAAGATACTTTTTACAGTTGTCATCTGCACTGTAGCTGAGTGCTTGCAGCCTTCCATGGTTTTATTTTCGCAACATCGCATTTATCTTCCTCTGTCTGTGGATGGCAAGATGCAGAAGGAGTAAACAACTTTCTGAAGATCTCCTAGGAGGTTTATGGTGGGGAAGAGCAAAAAACAAAGCCTAAAAATGCGAGAGGAGTGCTGCAATCACTGCCTAGTTCTCTTCTCCAAAGGAGGAGTACATGCACAGTGAGGGACAGAGCCTGCAGGGACCCACCCAGGGACCATGGAGCAGGATGCATGAACCACAATAAATAACACAACCCTTCTGTAAATTTATTTGGGGATGCATTAAAATTAAGTTTTCTCTGAAGCTGTATTCAGTCATAGGGTCTGTTACTTCAGCTTCAGTGTGTACCGCAGGCTTGTTTCGGTTGTCCTCTTAAACACCATATATTATTTTTAAATATGGAAAGAAGTTCCTTTGCCCAATAAATTGTCTAAGCTTTAAAATATAGAAGACATTTTAGTTTTTATGCTTACATTTTCATAGACCCAAACAACTGGAGAATAGGTGGTTCAGATGGTAACAGAGATAAAAGACTATAGATTAAACTGTTGTTGGCCATTTCTATTTAGTTCTTTGGCATTTTACCCCAATTTTGCATCATCGCATACCATATAAAATGAAATATTTTTTCAGGCTCTTCATTTTTATACTCCTCTAAGGATACTTTGCCTAATCTCCTAAGGAGAATAAACTATCTCAAAAGTGAAAACCGACCTGGAGAAGTAGAGATGCAGAGTGATGGGCTCTTTCTGAAATTCCCAATGAACTGAATATTTTTCTTCTCCTTCCGTTAAAGCCATTTACCCTATTAAAAAAAAAAACATGGTAAGATCTCATTCACTGAAAATACTTTCATTTCAACACGCCTCACCCAACATATCATGGATATGTGGTTGCCTTCTGCGCCCATTGGTTAACTTAACATTACCAATTTAGGATTTAAGGCAGTGAAAAGAAGAGGTTATCTTCATCCTAATCCATGCTCGGTGTGAACTTCAACATTTGATTGCATTGATTGTGTCTTCAGTACAATCTCTTGCTCCTTTTGAGCCTCTCGGTGGTTCATCACAGCCAGTGTTCACGTGCAGAAGGTGTGAGGCTCTGGGATGAGGAAGTCACACAAAGTGGGGGCTTTGCTGCATCATCAGCTTCCTCAAAGATCGTGCTAAGCTCTGAGGTTTGTCAAACATTTGTTTAATGTATTGACCCAAGTGTTAGTTTTTTTTTTAGTATAGCCACTGTATTAATGCCAGAAACTTTGATGGAGTTGGCAGCAATAATGGATTACACCCAAGAAGCTGCTCTATTATGTTTTGTAGGGACCAAGCTATTTTTAAACTTACAGATCCCATTAAAAAGAAAAAAAATTGTCTAACAACAAAACCTTCCACAGCCAATGGTTATCTGCAATCCCCTCAGTGAGCATCCTGCCTCAACATGGCCAGTGGTTGGTTGGGCAGCCAGGAAAGCTGAGCTCCCCAAAACAGATGGCTTTATCTTCTGCTCATTTCCTCTATTTTCCATATATCATGTTTTTTAATAATCAACGTGATCTCCACAGGGACAACATTCAGAAATTCTGAATACTTTCAGTTTCTTACTTTGAGTGTTTATCCCAGCTATTAAATATTCTTGAGAGTTCTTTCACAGGAAAACTTTCAGGTACTCATTAAAATTAATGTGTGGTTTGTTTGTTTATCTGCCAGAAAAAGAAAACAAATACCAGTAGTTCAGATCTCCTTGCTAACACACAAAGGTGGGAACTGTGCTGCAGCAATCACAAGTGCAGTGGAAGCGTGTACACTTTTATGGGCACACTTTTACAAGTGCGCTTATATGGTTGCAGCATTGGCTTACTAACAGCTAACATGAGGGATTGTTTTTTAAGGATACCTTGTAAAATTAAGTCACAGAATCACAGGGTGGCCAGGGTTGGAAGGGACCTCAAGGACCATGAATCTCCAACCCCTCTGCCACACTGCCACTGCCACCAACCTCCCCCTTCAATGCTAGACCAGACTGCTCAGGGCCCCATCCAATCTGGCCTTGAACACCTCCAGAGACAGGGCAACAACCTCTCTAGGCATCCTGTTCCAGCACCTCACCACTCTCTGGGTAAAGAATTTCTCCCTACATCCAGCCTTAATCTCCCCTCCCTCAACTTAAAACCATTTCCCCTCATCCTGCAGTTATCAACCCTTTCAAAGTGTTGATTCCCCTCCCCTCTGTAGGCTCCCTTTAGGTATTGAAAGGCTGCAATGACGTCGCAGCAGTCTTCTTTTCTCCAGGCTGAAAAAGCCCAGTTCCCTCAGCCTGTCTTCATAAGGGAGGAAAAAAGTAATTAAAATAGCCTTTCTTGTTTTGAAAACATGAGGCTAGCAAGACTTTGAATCAGAGGAGATGAAGATAGGAAGCAATGCAGCTTGGTGCTGGAATGCACAAAGAGTGGAAGATGCACTAAACTGCATACCAACATGGCAGACAACAGAAAAGGCCAAGAAGGAGATGAATATTGAATATGAATATTGAATATGAAATTATCATCCCAGAAATCTGTGGTGAAATATCTCAGACAAATTAATTGCCTCATGCAGAATACTAGTTACCACTTAATATTGGAAACATGCTAATGAATTGTTTCTTAATTAAGATTCTTTATTAAAGCTTCCTCCCCCTCTCTCTCCCTTTCTCAATGAAAGCACTTTGCTTTCTGAGTTCTTTCTAAAGCTCAGTGTTAAAAATCAAACATGTAGGTGCTGAAAGAATGTAAATAGCTGAGATCACAGAGCCGACACAATATCTAGAAGGTGCCAAAGGTGCAAATGGAGAACAGTGTACTTAAATGTAAGGTTCTGTCAAGGAACTGCAAATAAAGTTGTATCAATACTATGGTAACGGCATGCTTCTCTACCTGCATTCCATTGCATGCCTGTTTGTGTTCATGTATGCATTTGAGACTGTGATGTTTAGGAAGGAGGAACTCAGGAAGAATGAATGAGACCCAGATATGAGGAAAGAGGAAAAAAAAAAGATAGTACAAAGATTGAAGCAGTGAAATGACATTTTAGTAGCTCAGCCGTGCTGATCCTCAAGTAACACAGATACTTATTCTGACATCTGCATTTCAGAACATTACTGGGTAAAATATCAGTCAAGAGTGTTAATAAAGAAAAGTTATCTGCTATTGGCAATGAATGTGTAAGGCAAAATTGTACCCCTCTTCCCTACTAAGTTTTTCTACCATGCAGATAAGATGTATAAACAGATAGCAATTGGTTAAAGTACAAAACAGAAGTAAGAACAGTACCCTTAAGGAAGCAGAGAACGAAAGAAGATATTCAGAACCAGTTTACAGCTGTTTCTGTTCTACTGGAATGTCTTGTATCAGCACTACTGTTTGAAGAAGAGATGTAATCATTACTGGCACTGATAATGCTGACGATAAGGCTGATTCCAGAATGATAGTGGAAGATAAAAGGAGTGTGACAGTTATTGGAACAACTGGATTGAGAAATGAAAAATAGCAACCAACAATTTAAATAAATCCAGATTACAGGAAGAGAGACTGGGGATTTCTACTCCTCTGAATACAGAAGGAAAAGTATGAAGTCTAAGAAGTTAATTAGTATTTAAAAAAATGTAGTAAAATACATAAAAATGGAATGAACAGAAAATTAGTAGATAAAAACCCTAACTTTGTGGATTGATCTTATAATAAGTTGAATGGGCTCTCTATTAAACAGAGAAAATATGCATCTATTTTGTGTGCTTATAAGAAAATAAACTGTTTTGGGTTAATATGTTTAAAATAGTATGCAAGCTTAAGTAGCATGGCTAAGCTTTAACAAAAATTTAAATAGATGACATCCACAAATGTTCCAGTGCCTTTGCTATGGTTATGCATTTGTATAGAAGAGCAGTGAGATTTCAAGGCTGGAAAAATCATCTGTGGGTCTCATATTTGTTGGATGAATCCCATTCATTTCCAATGATACTGAAGGAACAAGGGCTAAGGTGGAATAACTAGATAGTTCAGAAGGCATTGCAACCTCAATTCCAAGAAGATTCATTTTGCATAATCAGTGGGGCATCCATTTGTGATAAATAAAACTTTATCCTCATTTTAAATACTACTGTTGAGATTACTAAAGTGGAAATTATTATAGTTAGAGTCATTATTGTCAGCATCAGTGTCTCTGTTAACCAGATGCAGACCACATCCGCCACACAAGATAACCTCTCCTGATTGATAGAACAAGTGGCCAACCTGAAGCCTTAGGGCTTCATTTAAGAACGTCTTGTGATTACAGCTTCAGCTCCAGTACACTGATGTAGTTCTACTGAGTACAGTGTTTAACTCAGAATCTGGACCAGCAAATGTAGTTTGATGTAGTGTCTTCCCAAGGACAAAGGGGTGAGTTCCTTCCTCCAACTCAAACCATTGATTTTTGGAAATCAGGAGTCATTGCTGACCCTGTCAGTGCAATTATTCATAATTAAAATTGAGATCTAACTATAAAGGACTTAAAGCAATTATAAAAGCAGTAATAAATATGTTTCCTCTGCTGATTATAGCGTAGGTCTGAAATACTGTTTGAGATCCCTGCGAGTCTATGCTCATGAATTGTAGAAAAGCAAAGCGACTGATTGCATGGGTGAGCTGAATAGCAAATAGCAATATTTAGCTTGCTGAAGACCTTATAGCAGCAGAGCTGAGACATCAGTGGTTTTTCCCTTGCTCTTGTTAGACAGCACCTGAAAGAATAGGGATGAGAAAGGAGAATTGCCATTAGAATATATATATTTTTTATTATAATTATTTTTTGCCTTCTGTTTTAGTACCTTATTTCATCTTCTGTCCCTCCTTTCCTTCCCTGCTGAAACAGATATTGATTTGTGGGTAGGAACAGCAAGCACATTGTCTGTGCACATTCTGATCTCATCAGAGAAGGAGGTGAGCAGGGACAAGTGATCCTTAATGACATTGTTCTGAGCCCAGAACTTATTCTGATGTATGTATATTAAAAACAAAACAAAACAAAACAAAACACAACTCATAAGCATAATGCTGAAAACCAAACATAGTTATCATTGGAAATTGGAGTTATTGTCCTGCTGAAGGGTGAAAATCTTAGAGCTCTTTAAGTACTGTTAGGGAAAGGCAGTAGCAGATAACCAGTTAGTAAATACCCAGGAAAATGGTGATGGTCACAATCCAGTTAAAGAATGGAAGATTTCCTTACCTGTCCTAAGGATCAGGGCTTGCCAAATACTTCACCAGAAAGGATCTCTAAATAGAAACCCTTCCCTTGTGGCTGCCAGCCCTTAAATCAGACTCGGAGAGGGGCAGAACCTGGTTCTACCTCTCTCACTCACACAGGTGAATTCCTTTCACCTGTGCTCCCAGGGCTGGCTGTGTCCCTTCACCAGGTGCTCAATCATTGGTTCAGTTCATGACTTAGCAACTCCCATACTGTATTACATGACCTGGCCAATACTAGTAAGAGCAGTTTTATTTTTTTCAAACAGAAATGTAATAAAGTTATGTTTTACTACATAACTTTTACTACATGTATGATTCTGCAGTTCCCTCCTGCCTACAGAGCACTCCAAGGTATTATTTCTAAAAGGTCGGTGGCCTGACACCACTCTTGGTGGAAATTACATTATTAATTTAAGGCTTGTTGTCTGGCTGCTGTATTGTTTTACACAGAGCTGCTCTCCCTGGGTTTTATTCCATTAAAGTAAATGGCAAACAGAGTGTTGCCAGAGTGAGCTGCAGAGTACCCATGTACTGCA